CGTGACTTCGCGATTGCACCCTTGCACGCCTCCGGCTAGTTAGTTGTCTGTACGATTCCACGCATCGGGTCGAACAAAAACACCCTCATGCCCCTCCACACTGGATTCGTTCTAGCAACACAGTCTGCCACGATACACTCTGTCAGAGCCTCGCTTTGCGTTCAACGTACGTGCGAGGTGAAACTTGCTTCGAGCATGTTGGCGTGATTCCTCACATGTTGTTGCCAAAGAGCCTGCACATCGGGTTTTGCTGCTGGTATGATGTACTGCCGATGATGATGGGAGGAAGGCAACGGGGACAAAGTTGAGTCATATTCTGACCACTGTGAAGAATGACAACAAGTACTAGGTGTTGATGATGGCCATGTGAAGGCTGAAGCTCGCAGCGACAAGCACATCGATGCTGAGGATCATCGTCAGCGCAAACGGTGAACAAGATGACGACGATGATGCTTGTCAGCTGGCTGCTATCCTGACTCCTGGAGAAGATTGGAGTGAACTTCCGTCAGCGATGCTGTTGGGTGATATGCTGGTGTAGATGACGACGTCATGATATTCACGAAAATGGAGCGGTTCACTAGTATGGGGAAAGTGTTCCACTATCAGCAACAAATGCCACCAGCTCTCCCACCAGCACCAGCAGCAGCACAAGAATAACCATAATGATGATGCTGCTGGGTTGCTGGCTCCACACTATCATCACACAAAAATGAAGCTGCATGCCTCAAGAACCCCATCAGCAATTACCTCAAGATTGCTAGCTTCGTCATCATTATCCTCGGCATCCCTTCTCTTATGCATCGTCAGCTTGAGCATGGCCACCGACATCGTCATCATACTCATCATAATCATCATCATCATCAACAACATCGTCGTCATCATCAGCTGCTACAACAACTACTACTTCTTCTTCTAGTGCTACTACGACTACAACGACGACGACGACGACGACTACTACTACTACTACTACCTACTGCCACAACAACAACAACTACTACTACTACTACTACTACGACGACCTCGACTACGACTACGACTGCTCTACTGCTGCTACTTCTACCGCTGCCACCTAAGCCCAAGATCTCCAAGCCCTGAAACCCGACATCTTGTATCACAAACTCGACAACCAACAACCAGAGACCCCAACAGCTGAAGCCTGAATTTCTGATTTCTGATAACGCTGGCGAAGCCCTGAAAGACATAGCTAGGCAGTAGGCTGATGTCATGTCGTGGTCGCTATTGCAACTAACCAGACACATCACTCCACGACTTGGGCCGGCCATGCTGCCCGGATGATGACGGTGTAGATGTTGATGATGCTACTGTGGCCGATGTTGATGATGACGTTCACAACGAGACGGCAGCCACCGTCGCCATGCAAGAAAGGAAGCAACCAGCCAAATCACGCCATATACCAAACGTACGCGCTGCCACCCTGAAAACCAACAAAAACCTGTCAATCTGCCAACCCCCAGCATCTCTTCTCTGGACCCCGTATGTTTGCCATGTTGCCACCACACGCCGCCCAAAAACCCAAATACTTCCATTTCTGGCAAGGTGCGCAAGAGGCCTATAGGTAAAGATATCGAACCTCCGCTTGACGAAGTTAATATTACAGTGTATAGGAAGTACTATCACAAAAACTGGTTGCCTTCCATCATCTAACATTCGTCCCCCTGTTCAACACATCGCAGCAGCGAGTTCATGAATAAGCCGCTTCCTGTACATATTGCGCAAGTGTGCTGGCTTTGTTCGGGGTGCAATGGGCGCAGACACTTAAGGCAAGGCTGTGAGCTATGTCACAAAACCGGAAGATCAGCCAGCAAACGGGCATATCTGAGACGTGCCGGGAGACCTCCACCCCAAAAAACCCAATCTTTGTACTGTACACCCTGAAGCCATGAACATCACATTCCCCAAACCCTACACTGGTTCCCTGTTGGGGCTCTGGTAAACATGATCATTGTTCATCCCTGTCTGGGTTTCATTCGAACAATATGTAAATATGTAATATAGTGGCCTTAATAATCAGAATAGGGTTTTGGGTCCATTATACTAAAATTACAATAAGGAGCCCCAACATAGTATTGGTAATTATTTAGGCCCCTACATTATCCAACAAGGACCTAGGAGATCAGTTCTCAGAAGCTGGCCTCGTCGAGCGGCGAATTAGGACCGGCTCTGCCGCCCTGGAAGTTCATTGCTTAGGGTTTAGGGTTTAGGGGTTTAGGTTGGGATTACCAACAGGGCTTCGAGAAAGCGCAAGGTTTGGCCAGGGGATAGATGAATAGATCAGAGACTAAAAAGCGTTGTTGGCTTTCTCTTTGTGGCCACAGATGCTACAACGAACTCTTGGGAAGACAAGTGGGGGTCTTTCTCATCAGAGATCGGCTAGCAGCCAGCAGAAACGTTCAGAGTATCACAAGACCAGGACAGCACCATGCCAAAACACAGAAAAGCCTTGCTGCCCTGAACCCTAGAACACCACCTCTTACTTTCGCAGGAGTACTGTGGTAAACGGAACGAGTTTTTCAGATATGACTATGACGAAGAGATGTTCGTGTTGTAGTGTTTGTAAGGCTACTGAACCAGCACGGCAGCACGCACATTCACAAATGTTGGCATGCATGTGCGGATGCATGTATGTATGTATGTATGTATGTATGTATGTATGTATGTATGTATGTATGTATGTATGTATTATGTGTGTATGTACCCCAATCAATGCACGCACACACAAACACACACATGCATGCATGCACCGCGATGTACCTTTCCCTCCCTCCAAATCTCTCGCGTACACTCAAGCCAGCGAACAGACTTCACCTACACTGAATTTAACAGGGTTTTGGGGTTGAGAATTTAGGGTTTAGGCTTTAGGGTTTAAGGTTCAGGGTTTAGGGTTTTAGGGTTTAGGGTGAACGCCCGTTCTCACAGAAGGGCCCGAGCATCTTCTGGGGCGGCACATAGCTTGCCTTCGCGACCTTCAAACTGCAAAGGTTCATTTCAGCACGTTTAGGGTTTAGGGTTATAGGGTCTAAGGTTTAGGGTTTAGGGTTTAGGGTTATAGGGTCTAAGGCTATAGAGTTTAGGGTTTAGGGTTTACGGTTCAGGGTTTTGGGTTTGAGGCAATGTCTATGTTTGTCTGTGCGAGGCATATATTGTCTAATTGCCTGACCCATCTCTCCCGGCCAACCTCTGAACTTGAAGTAATCTCATGGCATGTGAAGAGCTAATAAGGAACGGCATAAGCAAGAAGTGCAGCAACCAGGGTATAGAAGCCTTCGCCTCAAAAGAGTAAAATAACATGAACTGTCTTCGCGGCTGGGGGGTTTGGAGTATGATGCCGACATCGTGCTCGATCATCTCTAACTCAATCCTCAGGGTTTTGCAGAGCTGGTACGGTTCTATTTAGGGTGTCCAATTACGATTTATAGTTATGTTGCACCCAAAACCCAAAAACAAATTTTATCCAACGGGGCCTCAATGTCAATAGCTCACACTCTAGAAACTGAACACTCTCCCAACCCTAAACCCTAAACCCGAACCCCTAAACCCTATAAACTCCAAACCCTGAACCCTCGACCCCTAAACCCTATAAACTCCAAACCCTAAACCCCTCGACCCCTAAACCCTATAGACTCTAAACCCTAAAACCCTAAACCCTAAAACCCTAAACCCGAATCCCTAAACCCTATAAGTTCTAAACCCTGAACCCTCGACCTCTAAACCCTAAACCCTAAACCGTCCCTAAACGCCGTCCTCGAGCATCTTCTCGAAGCCTTTGCTGTCGCGGCCTAGGCCTCGGCCACGCAGGCGTCAGGGTTTCTATAAAGGGATCTAGAAGTTTAGGGTTTAGGGTTTAGGGTTTAATGGGCTCCTTCACAGGGATCTAAAGGAACCGTACGGGGATGTAAAAGGGTTCCTCTAAAGGGATCGACAAGGGTTCCTTTCAAAGGATCTATAGGAGTTCCTTTAAGGGGATCTATAGGGGGTTCTATATGGATTGAGGGTTTAGGGTTCAGGGTTTAGTGGATTACCCTGTGCTTCCAGGGACCTTATTATTGGGTCGTTCAGGGGCCTAGGGCCCGAACTATAAGGTCCTTGGAAGCATAGGGTTAAGGTATCGGGGTTTTCTTGTCCGAGATAGGCTTCAGGAGGTGTAGGGCCGCGACAGAAGTTGGGCTGCAGTTCGAAGTTCGATTTGTAGAGTGCTTCGGGTCAGATCCTTCAGACAATCCTGACATGTCTGGGATCCAGGATTCAAGCCTCACCAGAAAAATCCCTAACCAACCCTGGAATTCCCCAAAACCCCAAGCCCTAACCCTAAACTCTTCTCCAGGTGGATTCTTCTGCTGCTTGGGCCTACAACACGGAAATTTCTGCGATGCTCCGGAAACCCACTGACCCATAACCACCAAGAACTGCAGGGTTCAACCCAAGAGCTACGACCGAGAAGCGAAACCCAAGCCAGATGTAGCCCTTTGCCACAAATCCTAAAAGCACAATCCGAAACCGCAACAGCCTTAGGGCCCCTTGACTGTGAACGACCTGCAAAGCGGCTTAACCTGCACCAAAAACCCGAAACCCGTAACGCCCATAGCCAGTAATGCTAGACCGCCCTGAACTACTGTGACCCTAAAACCTAAACAGTTCAGCTCGTTCCTCCCCTCTTTTCCGAGGCGGTGCTTGCGTGCAGCCATGCCCAGGCACGGCCGCAGTAGCCGACGACCAGTGGTCGCAGGGTCCCTAAAAAGGAGCGAATTCTCGGCGCTTGTGCATCCCGGAGTGGACAGGCCTCGGTAGTTGAGGCTGGGGGTTTAGGGGTCACCGGGCTCAGGATTTCGTATTCGGGCTTTAGGATTTAGGGTTCAGGGTTTACACTTAGGATTCTTCAACAAGAACAAGGTCGCTTTTATATCCTGCCACTGCCCAATCAAACTGGATATTTTGCCTTCAGTTCGGCTCAGGGCTGGGATGCTATCCTGCAGCCGGGGAGCACCGATGAGCGTGCTTATTGTGATGATGTCTGGTTGGAGCCGCCGGTTGCCGAGGTCGTCCTGGGCTTCCCGAAAGTCCCGCAGAGCCCTTAACCTGCAACACCCCCAAACCCCAGCTTTGTCGCATCCTAGGTGTCAGGATCCTAAACCGTGTATACACCCGCCTTATAGTAACCCTAAGCCCTAAACCCCATAAGCCCTGTTGCTAGACTATACGCTAAACCCTAAAACCCCAAGCTTCACGCTTCAGATTTAGCCCAGGGCATTTGGTTGCTGCGTGTGAAGGCTGCACCAGCTCGGGAGTGTTGCATCTGTAAGGCCTTTATATCCAGTTGTGTAGGGTGTTTCATCTGGCTTTCCTCTGGGATTTTTTGAGGATCATAGATGGAGCTTGCTATTTCATAAATAGAGTCGTCTGCTGGGGTTCTGGTGCAGCAGGTCTGAGTACTTCGACTAGGGTATGACAATAATTATGGTACAGCTAGAAAAGAGACGTTAAAGCGATGATTTTATCTCATGATTCCGAATCTTAATTTTGTACAAGCATGTGGAAGCAGTGAATAAACTTTGTTTCTCTTGAGTGTTTCCACGGTTTCATTCTGTGGCTTAAGCCTTCAGAATTTACCACACCTTACATTCACTGTTAGTGGCGGACGTCGCGCTTGAGTTTGCCTTGTGCAAGGCCGCATGGCCGTAGCCGACAGCAGGAAGGGAAATGAGGTTACGTGGAGGATGACGCTCAGGGCGAGCCCCAGTTCAGGGTCTACTCAGGGTATCGTCGGGTTCAGAGCAAGGGGCCAGGGGAATGCTGGTCCTGACATCATGATACTTGCTACCAGACTTGCGACCATACCTACCCCGAACTCACAAACTTACAGGCTTCGATTTCTCATATGGTGCTCCCATCGTGCTACAGAAGAAGAATCTCTAACCGTGCTCTAACCTCTAATTCGCACAAACCAAGACGGTATCCCAACGTAGTCGAACCCTTTTCTTTCACTCTTGGTATGTCACAGCATCTTCTACTACCAAAATGCAAACGACGGAGATGTTGCTACTAGCAGTGTGGCTGATTGACAAAATCCCAAACTACCTGCATACCCCATTGATTGCTATGGGTGACGCAGGATTTTTAAAAATACCAGGAGCTACGAGTACCAGTAGGACAACGACGACGACGGGGATTGCTTACTACTAGTACTACTAGCTACTACGGGTACGCGTACAAATGCATCTGCCACTGCCGCTGACACTACCACACAGCCGCTTCCCACGACCACTACAACTACCACGACGACCGCTACTTCTGCGACTACTACGACTACTGCTACTGCTAC